TGTTGGAATGTCTATGATGAGAGATCCAACTGTACAAGAATATTTAAAATCTGACAGCTTAATCTTCCAGGGCTTATTATTATCCTTGCAAATAATATTTGAAGGATTTAGATTCATGTGCTGAAAATAAATAAATTAATTATTAGATGAATTAATTAATTGAATAATTATAATAATAATTGGAGGAATTTACCTACAACAATTCCATTTTTATGCAAGAATTGAACGCCTTTACAAATATTCAAGAATAATTCTCTGGTAAATTTTAAAGTGTTAAATTTGTCAATGCTAAGATCTAAACTTTTGCCAAAGTATTCCATAACAATAATATGTTCCTTACTAATACTACTACTATCATCATTATCATTGTTAGTTGTTAACGTGTCTTGAAATTTTAGAATATATCTAAAGGAACTTTTTAGTTGTTTAATTATTTTCATTTCATTTTCCCAAAGAAACTCATTTGAAAATATTTTAATTATAACAATAACATCATTTCTAATATTTTTTCCAGTATAAATCTTATATCCCTCTTTGTCATTGTTGTTGTTGTTGTAATTATTTAGTAATAGATTTTGTATAACATAATTATCTGAAAATATCCTTTGATTATTATCATCATCGTTATTATTAAAAACAAAATTATTTTTACCATTAATGTTTTGTGTATTCGAAATCTTTTGTTGAATTTGCAGTGACGTTGGTCTACTATCAAATGATATCAATGATTGTATTTCCGGTGAATTGTCAATGGGATTCTTATCAGAGGAAAAGGAGTAGGAAGAGTAGGATGAAGAAGAAAAAGAAAAAGCTGTTGACTTTCTTGAAGGCATTAGCCGAGAAATTTTATTATTAGCATTGGTATTTGATTGTAGGAAAGATGATGTTGTTGAAGCTTTAGAATGTTTGTCAGATGATGTTTTGAATTGATTGTTATTTTTTTTCGCTAATGGTGGAGATATTGGGATTGTACCAGATGGTAATAACTGAGTTAATTTGATGATTTTGTGAAAAGATAACCTAAATCCTATTTTAGAAGATATTCCTTTGTTATCATGAATGGAAACTGGTCCAACTGATATATTGATTATTTTTAAAAGTTTGAAAATAAATTTGAATGCATATTACATTTTTCTCAGTCAAAATGTTAAATGCAAAACGAATACTACGTTTCATTTTGAAACGTTTCCTTGAAGTTGATTGTATCGTTGTGATTGATTATTTTGTTTTTGAAAGATGAATTAAATATTTTAAAATTCATTTAACAGAAGGAAAAATGGACCCTCAATCTGGCAAATGCGTTTTTTACTGAAATTAAGCATTTATAATAAATATTAATATATATGTTAAAGGGACACAAAGAAAATTAGTTATTAATGAAGGCTAATAATCCAGGTTTATATATTTAATTTTACTTAAAATGTTACCATATTTTAAGTTATTAACACCGAATTAGTATGTAAAACCGTGCCTTATTGCTCATTCTGCTTTTCCAAATACTTCTAATTCTGACCGTGAAAATAGAAAAAGTTATTATTTACAATTAGTCAAAGAAAACAAAGAACTATTGGAAAGGTTTGTTTATAATTTTGAA